TCCAGCTGGATGACGCGGTCCGTGCCAACGACGACCTGAAGGAGAACATCGCCATCGTGGAGCGGCGCAACAACCTGCTGCAGGCTGAGCTGGAGGAGCTGCGTGCCGTGGTGGAGCAGACGGAGCGGTCTCGGAAGCTGGCAGAGCAGGAGCTGATCGAGACCAGTGAGCGGGTGCAGCTGCTGCACTCCCAGGTGAGGGGCTCCCTGCATATCCCTAGAAGGAGCAGGAGCTGGTAGGACTAGCGGTGAGGTTTGGGAGCCAGGCATGGATGCTCGCTCAGTGCTTTTCCTGCTCTGCTCACCCCCAACCCAGAACACCAGCCTCATCAACCAGAAGAAGAAGATGGATGCAGACCTGTCCCAGCTCCAGTCGGAGGTGGAGGAGGCCGTGCAGGAGTGCAGGAACGCTGAGGAGAAGGCCAAGAAGGCCATCACGGATGTGAGTCCCCCACCCCACCTGCCGCTGCAGGACAGTGTCCCGCACCTGGAGACCTTCAAGCGGGAGAACAAGAACCTTCAGGGTGCGCTGGGGGCCTGAGATGCTGGGAGGGGCCGGTGGCAGGCAGGCCCATGCTGGGACAGGCTTTGAGTTTCTGGCCCTCCAATCCCCAGAGGAAATCTCGGACCTGACTGAGCAGCTGGGAGAAGGAGGAAAGAATGTGCATGAGCTGGAGAAGGTCCGAAAGCAGCTGGAGGCGGAGAAGCTAGAGCTGCAGTCAGCCCTGGAGGAGGCCGAGGTGAGGGCCTGGCGCTCCCTGCTCCTCCCAAGTCTGCTGCTGTCTCCCACCCTTCCCTCGCTCAGGCATGGTCCCCATTCCAAGAGAAAATCCATTAGTTCCATATTCTTTGCCATCCAAAGTCATCTACCCACTACCCATGACTACCTCAAAGCCAAGGCCTGAGAAAAGGAAAATGTCACAGTCTGATTATAGGCCGGAAGTTCTTTTTTCCCCACCAGGTTTTTAAAGTTGGAATCTGGCCCTTATAATAACTCCTCAGACAATGGGTAGGAGCATGGGCTCCAGAATCAAACAGACTTGAGTTTCAAACTCGGCTTGCCGACCTCTGATGTGTCACTGGGCAAGATCCTTGAAATGGGAGTAATTTTACATACATCATAAGATTTTATGCATGATTATTATGAAGATTAAATGAGGCAACACACTTAAGCACTTAACACATGTTAGCTATTGTTACTGTTCATTTTTAAGCACCTGGGAATAGCCCTGAGTTTTTTGGCTTCTAACTTTTCTCTCTAAAGGGTGAGAGACCTGGGACACAAATACAAAATTTTGAATTTGTGGTTATAAAAATCTTTCCTCTTTCTATAATATTTTAGATGGGTCAAGAACTTATGCAATGTTAGTGCTCGAGGGTCCAAACACTTTCCTTGACAAAGGAAGCCCAGAGAGTCTGGCACTGCCTCCCCTACAGCACCTTCGTGGGCATGGGGTGCAGGTCTCATCTTCCCACCTCTTCTCAGCTCTTCTTCTCAGGGCCATGGTTCTAGCTGACACCCTGCATCCTCCCAGGCTCACTCCCACGCCCTGCCCTGTGCCCTGTCTGCCCTGACCCCCTCTCCACACCCTCCAGGCCTCCCTGGAGCACGAGGAGGGCAAGATCCTCCGGGCCCAGCTGGAGTTCAACCAGACCAAGGCAGAGATCGAGCGCAAGCTGGCAGAGAAGGACGAGGAGATGGAGCAGGCCAAGCGCAACCACCTGCGCGTGGTGGACTCGCTGCAGACCTCCCTGGACGCGGAGACGCGAAGCCGCAACGAGGCCCTGCGGGTGAAGAAGAAGATGGAAGGCGACCTCAACGAGATGGAGATCCAGCTCAGCCACGCCAACCGCATGGCTGCCGAGGCCCAGAAGCAAGTCAAGAGCCTCCAGAGCTTGCTGAAGGTACATGGAGAGGCTTAGAAGCAGGCGGTCACCTCACCCAGATGGGACTGGCCCCACGTGGCCTAGTGAAGTGGTGGTGTCCCATTGCAGGCGCCAGAGCCCTCTGCCCCTGGGTCATTGCAGAGACCACCGAGGGCCCCTCCTGAGCCACCGCGATGGGCTTTCCACTGAGGCCACTTCCACCTAACAGCCTTGGGAAGGGCAGCGAGGCCAGCCCCCGACCTCATGCCCCTTCTCCTGGTCCTCAGGACACCCAGATCCAGCTGGATGACGCGGTCCATGCCAACGACGACCTGAAGGAGAACATCGCCATCGTGGAGCGGCGCAACAACCTGCTGCAGGCTGAGCTGGAGGAGCTGCGTGCCGTGGTGGAGCAGACGGAGCGGTCTCGGAAGCTGGCGGAGCAGGAGCTGATCGAGACCAGTGAGCGGGTGCAGCTGCTGCACTCCCAGGTGAGGGGGCCTGCGCCTGCCATGTGGAAATCTGCTCAGCGTCAGAGCCCAAGACATTCGTAGAAACCAGATGTTCTAAGGGAGCATGTCTCTCCAGGGTCACAAATCATTTCATGTCTTGGGCCAACTCTCATCTGTTAGTAGTGGCTGCCAGAACCATCGTCTTGAGAAAGAGGTCTAGACTTAAAAGCTAAGAGTGTCATGATTGATTGGTGATGCCTGCCAAAGCCAGAAATCTGGGAGTAGTAGAATGCATGCCGTTATTTGATATCCTAGATCTAAAAGACTACCTCCAGCTTTCTCTGTAAAGACGAGAGTTTGGGAGTTTAAAGAAGCATAACTGCATCTCTTGCAAACCAAACTCTGGATAGAACACCATTTTTCTGCAATCTTACCCACAATGCTTTCAGTTTTACTCTGCAATGAGTTTTTGTGCCTATCTATTGTAGTGGCTGGTAGAGTTTTGTTCTGTAATCCGGTAGGTGTGGGAATGACATCATCCTCTGACCTTGTCCTCTCTTCTTTACCCCACCACATTCTTGCTATACCTATAGTCATCTCCAGAATATTGCCCTAGTAAAAACGTGGTTTCCATTTTCCTTGGACTATTGCCATGCTTGAACATAAACATGTTTCTAAAGAGCTCAGGAGAAGAGGTGCAGACCTTTTGCTATTCGAAGTCTTTTGTCAGAGCTGAGTAATTGTAGGCATAATGTCTAGAACATATGTTTCATAGGAAAAGGGAAAGCAGGTGCAAAGCAACAAATATCCTAAAAGCAGTGCTTGTTGTTTAAAAAAAAAATGTCCAGCTTTAGTTCCCTCTGGATAAAGCTGTGGAATCAGGCAACAAAGCACAGTCTATGTGTGTGGTTTTCTCTCCCCGTATCTAGAACACCAGCCTCATCAACCAGAAGAAGAAGATGGAGTCTGATCTGACCCAGCTCCAGTCGGAGGTGGAGGAGGCCGTGCAGGAGTGCAGGAACGCTGAGGAGAAGGCCAAGAAGGCCATCACGGATGTGAGTCCCCCACCCCACCTGCCGCTGCAGGACAGTGTCCCCTGGGCTGGGCAGCGAGTGTATGAAGACCTGACCAGACCACGTGCCACCTCTGCCCTGCACACAGGCCGCCATGATGGCGGAGGAGCTGAAGAAGGAGCAGGACACGAGCGCGCACCTGGAGCGCATGAAGAAGAACATGGAGCAGACCATCAAGGACCTGCAGCACCGGCTGGACGAGGCGGAGCAGATCGCCCTCAAGGGCGGCAAGAAGCAGCTGCAGAAGCTGGAGGCGCGGGTGCGGGAGCTGGAGAATGAGCTGGAGGTGGAGCAGAAGCGCAACGCGGAGTCCATCAAGGGCATGAGGAAGAGCGAGCGGCGCATCAAGGAGCTCACCTACCAGGTGCGGCTTCCCTGGCCCCACCTCCCGCCCATACAGGGCCCTGCTGTGCTGCCTTTCAGGAATGCCCCGCAGCCCTCCGGCCACCTGCTCCTTGGGATGCTGTCTGTAGATTAATCTTTCCCATTCTCTGCAGTCACTTTGGCTTGAGTCCATACATTTTTTTTTTTTTTTTGAGACAGAGTCTCACTTTGTTGCCCAGGCTAGAGTGAGTGCCGTGGCGTCAGCCTAGCTCACAGCAACCTCAAACTCCTGAGCTCAAGCAATCCTACTGCCTCAGCCTCCCGAGTAGCTGGGACTACAGGCATGTACTACCATGCCTGGCTAATTTTTTGTATATATATTTTTAGTTGGTCAATTAATTTCTTTCTATTTTTAGTAGAGACGGGATCTCACTCAGGCTGGTTTTGAACTCCTGACCTTGAGCGATCCGCCCACCTCCGCCTCCCAGAGTGCTAGGCATGAGCCATCACACCCGGCTGAGTCCATACATTTTTATAGCAAATAGAGAATCTACTTCTACTTCCTGAGAGCTCTTTTAAACAGCCTTTCTCCAGGCTTTTTAATAACTCCAAGTGCTACCATGAAAGCTTCAGAAGAGTCCAAAGAGTCTTTCGCCTTCTACCAGCCTAACAGGAAGGGACACTGCGGCACTTTAGGGAAAAGACTCAGATATTTTCATGGAACTTCTGCCAGAATGTTCTCAGATCTCCATCAGCAGAGCTCAGAGATTTTGCCCTTGGCTTATTGTTTCTAGTGTGCCTGGGAAGGAAAGATGGAGGAGATGAAGTCATTGGTCCATTTGTCAGATGGACACCAGCGGCACAGGAAAGAAATTGCAGATGTAGAACCCCGTGTTTATTGCAGACAAAAAGTGGAAATGGCGTCCTAGCACATGCAGTGATATGGGGATAGGAATGATCAAGTGACATCAGAGCCAGTGATCCTGCTGCCTGCATCCTGGCCCAGTATGATATGTTAGAATACTGAGCTATACTAGATTAGGATAATCTGGATTATGACAATACCCCTTCTTTCTGCATTCCTCATTATTCCTCTCCTGGTCACTCCAGAACACTGGCCAAGAGCACATATGTTGCTCCAGGTTGGAGTTTCTCCACCAGATTGGAGCTGGGACAGACCTGGTGCCTCCACGTTGCCACACTAGGGAATTCCACTGGGTTCTGGGCCCCTCCCACCACTCCCAGCCGTAAGACAGAAGCCCTCACTGCTTCGTGGAACCCTGACTGAGAACCTTGCCTTGCCACTTTGACCTACAAGTAGAGTCAGAGATGGAATCTTCCCCACCACCTCTTTGACCTGAGCCACTGGAGGGAGGGGCAGCCAGGCGTGGGGAGAAGAGTGGAACCATGTGGGAAGGAAAGGTGACTGTACTTGCTCCTCTCCCAAAACTGGTTTCTTCCACCCATCCACTACAGACAGAGGAGGATAAGAAGAACCTGCTGCGGCTGCAGGACCTGGTGGACAAGCTGCAGCTGAAGGTCAAGGCCTATAAGCGCCAGGCCGAGGAGGCGGTGAGTAGCCCTGCAGGGCACTAGGCCTAGAGGGGGCAGAGGGGAGCTGGTCACTCAGGCCGGGAGGCTGAGCACCCAGGCCCCTCTCACGCATCCCCCACCCACAGGAGGAGCAGGCCAACACCAACCTGTCCAAGTTCCGCAAGGTGCAGCACGAGCTGGATGAGGCGGAGGAGCGCGCGGACATCGCGGAGTCCCAGGTCAACAAGCTGCGGGCCAAGAGCCGCGATATCGGCACCAAGGTGGGTCCCTCCACTGGGCTGTGCTGGTCACTGGACAGCAACATACCTGCTCCATTGGCCTCAGACACTCTCATACCTGGGGTGCCTCCTTTTCACTTATCCCCCACAACTGAACTTCAGAGGCCCCAAGGCCAAGGGAATTCTGTTCTCTGATTTCTAAGGTTCTTTCAGCTTTAATGTTCAATGATTCTGGGAATCTCAGCCCTAGGGTAGTCAGCAACCCTGGAAGACCCTGATT